ACTTGCGTAACAAAACATTAAAAGGCAAAGTGAAATTTGTTTTAATTTTTCAAATAAGTATATATAACTTGTATAACAGAATATTAAAAAGGTAAATTATTCTATAAATTAATCAAGTTCTCCAGGAGTTCAGTAAAATCCTTTAAATTTCTCATGTAGCATAACAAAAATGGATATTGAGGAAAAAAAATCTCAATCTAAGGTTGTCTACCTTAAATCAATCTAATTTCTAAATTCAACTAAAACATCCACTCCACTCATCCACTGCCTCTGCTTTTCATTTCTACTCATATTGTTTGCACCTTTAGTAATTCACTGACCTTGGAACCGCTTTCTTCCGATACTTCTCCCTCATTGGTTTGCATGGGAACAGACTCTGTGCAAAACTCTGCAGAAACACACAAATACTGCCTAAAGAGGTAGGAAGAGAAAAACACACAAGGAATTCAGTTCAGACATTTGTCTCTTCAAAGATTAGATTGAAATTCTGTTACTGATACTGTGGACTGTAAAGTACAACCTTAACGTGTGTGTGTGTGTGTGTGTGTGTGTGTGTGTGTGTGTGTGTGTGTGCATATCTGTATGTCTATACACATATATCTGAAGTAGAGAGGGAATTTTCCTCACCTTGAGGGAGGATAGCTAGCAAAAGTTTAAGACATTGGAGTATTGAACAGTACTAGATAATTTTCTTTTTATTTGACTTTTGGAAGAAATGATAGTGAAAATCTTCAGTAACTCATACAGTACAAATATTGACCTGTCAGAAAGGATGTCTACCTAAGTAAAGCACTGAACCAACTGTTATGCGGTAGCCAGTTGTACTGCCTGGATATTAAGCTAGACTATTAAAATTGGCTGGGTTTCTTGGGTTTATAACTTATGTTCAACACTTGTGATATTTTATGACTGAAATTAAGGTGTAATCTAATGATTGATCCTACTTGTTGTCGTTTAAGAAAATTGCTTAATAAACTAAATGTCAGTTAATTTATTTTTATAAGAGAACAGGCTATTCATAGGGCATGACAATAAAAAGTAATTTTCCTCCAAGAATACAATGAGTCAAGTGAAAGTTTATTAAAATTTCATAAATTAAAATATACCAAAATAACTATAAGTAAGTAAGTATTGAGTAATCATTACTCAAAACTGACACAAAAATCTCTATTATATATGCAGGTACAAATATTTTTAAATGTTTCAAATGCTTTAAAAGGCTCATAGCGACAAAATATAAAAGCTAAAAAGATGCTTCATGGTGTACTTTTTGTGTGTGCAGAGAAATCTCTTATGGATGTAGCAGCTTGGGGGGCTGGCGATCTGGCTCTGGTGCAGGCTTCTCACTAACCAGCCACAAGACCTGAGGCCAAAAAGACAGTTCTGCCCGGCTGGCATGGCTCTGTGTTTGAGTGAAGACCTATGAACCAGGAGGTCATGATTCCCAGTCAGGACACATGCTTGGGTTGGGAACTTGATCCCCAGTGGGGGGTGTGCAAGAGGCAGACAATGAATGATTCTCGCTCATCATTGATATTTTTCTCTCTCTCTCCCTCTCCCTCCCTTCTCTGAAATAAAAAATAAAAAATAAAAAGACAGTTCTGGGAATCTGTTTCCTCATCAGGTGGGTGGGAAAAGGGAATCAAAATATCTACTATGCTCACCTAATGAGGATTTTGGGGAACTAATGTGTATTTATCTGAAGTAAAACGTAAAACTGGTACAGTGGAAGCTCTCTCAGTCAACTCCTATTCATTCCTTCCAGATGAACTGACATTGCCCATTCCCTCTGTAAAACATATGACTGATGCTCACAGCAAGTGAAACAGGCTTTCTCTAGTTGGTTTCGACCCTCACCTGTTTATGACACTTGTGCAAAAACATAATTGCTCTTTCTATGAAAATTAAATGGAAAGCACTGGAAAAACTCAATTAACATATCTAGAAAGATTTGGTATGCAAATTACTTCACAAATCTCTTCAAGTTCAAATGCTACTTTACTGAAATAGAGATTGTGTTTCCCAGATGATGCATTATAGGCAGAGCTGACCAAGAAAGGGACCCGATTCTCTCAGTGCCATTTCCATCTGAATGTGCGGTCCATTCCTGGCTCCTCTCCACCTCCACACACACTACCCCAGAGGAGGCACAGGATCTTATCTGAAAGGTGAGTTCAGAGGGAGAAACAAGATCTGTGATCTCTCTCTTCCTTTTGGAAGCCAGCGTCCCCAGGGAGCACGCATTCTCCTCTGCTCCTGTCCCTATCAATGCAGGCCCCTCACAATTACCTGCGAATAGGCAAGTTTGAAGAATTCTGAGGTTCAGTGTTAAAAAGTTCACTTGTCTGCAGATTTTAGCTGAATTCTCCAATTTAGCTTTATTCAGAATGGAGATGATATTTTGGTCTCCCAAATGCCTTTCTCTGATCTTATTTCTCAACTGGTACAGAACTCAGCCAAGGGAAAATTAGAGTGCTGTTTATTGGGTATCTCTCAAACCCTAACACCTACTGCATGAGATTAGTCTTGATGAAGAAACACGAAGTAAAATTTGGGGAGTAATATACATGTGGAATTTCTGAGGCTTCTGTTGGGGCCACGACTTGGGGCCTTGGTCTTTACTGCGGGGGCAAAGTGTTGTGACCCGGCAGAGGTTTTACATTAGGCCTCATGAGCTTTTACAGTTGTACACTAGCTTTTAATTACTGAGGCCAAATTAGAAGTTTATAAACCACAGGCCACACTGTATTCTGACTTTAGTGGTGACTGTAGTTATGGCAACTTTGTCTTCAGGTAGTGGCAGTTTCTATAGAAACCGGCACATAAAGCTTTAGCGAAGGCTTGGGGGCTTTGCCGGCCTCAGCAAAGAAACAAGCCACTCTCTGCCATGGCGGTAGTACTGAAAGCTCATCTAAATGTCAGATGCACAAGTGGTCTCAGCATACACTGGCTACTCTGGCCTAGCAAGCAAATGCCAGCTGTGCTGGCCTCAGCAAAGGGAATAAGGCATTAGCAGGCCTGGGTAGCTTCAAAGCACAGAAGGCTGACCTTGAATTATGCAGACACAGCTTTTCCTAAGTAGGCATGGCTGAGACAAAGATTATTAGACTTTAGGAAAAAAGACTTTCTTCATACAGGCCTTTTAGATATTAGTGAGTAGAACAATTATTTGATGCATATAAGCTGCAAGGCAACTAAATTTGAAATAGCACATGGGCTACAAAACCAGTGAACTTCTAGGTTTAAATTGTTTGTGCTGGGCTTACATAGGCGATTCAAAGGGGAAATTCAAAGAGGTTTCTCACAACACTTCACAGAAGGAGGGGAGGAAAGAAGAGAGGGAGGGAGGGAAGAACAAGGCAGACAGGGAGGGAGGGAACTTATAGAGGAAAATTGGTAACTGGGGCGCCATCTACATTTTGCAAGGAGGAGGTGATATTTCAAATAGTAATCTTTAAAAGAGAAAACATGTGCATTGGTTGTTTTTTCCCCCAGATATGATAAAGACAGTTCCAGATTTAACCTCTTGCTGGCAGATTGTTCCAAATGGTGGCAGTGTCCCAGTCATATATTCTGGACGCTGGCATGGACCAACGGTATCTTGGTGAGGCTCAAACCAAGAGAACCTCACCCATTCTCCCCTCCCTCAGATACCAATGTGTCTCTGCTACAATCTTTGGCAAGACTGAGTATTGCATTCAGGGAACGTAACTTTATCTGCTCTTGGGCTGGAAGTAGGCTTTCTTTTTTAATTTGGTGGTGGTGGGGATAGTACTGAAATGATTTTGTTTAGCCTTGGAGTTCATATAATTTGTATACCATTCTGATCCATTTTAGAATCTTCTGGGGACAGAATCTATTGATGGTCCCAAGAGAACAGTGATTGGCAGTGGGGTGGTGTCCTCATGAAAGTGAGAGTAGGACGGTCCTGAGACCATCCCTGACCTATAGGGGACAGGCACACCCCAGCTGACCGACATTCACTGTGTAAGAGACAAAAGCTGGTGAGTGTTAGAGGAGAAAAACTTCGTCCTCACTCTTGATGCTCCCCTCCACATAGGGCAGTATCAGTTTGTTTGCTATTCCTGGTCTTATCATATCCTTGACTCCTGCTGTGAGCCTAGAGGAGGAAACTGAGCTTGCAGAGTCCACCCCTTCTCTCCCCTTTCCCTTGGGGGTACCTATTGTGCTCTGCTCCTTTCTTCCTTCTAGGAGGTGGTCTATCCCAGACTAGTGCTGCTGGGTGAGAAAACCCATTAAGTTCTGGAGTTCAAAGATGAGCCAGTTCTCCCATGTCAACTTATAATAAAAGTGAAATTTTGTTCTCTGCCTGTCTTACTCCTTCATCGTCTATTTCCATTGTTTCAGAATGTAGACAGGAAATAGAATATTAGTTAGTGGGCTCCTTTCAATTCTAACTTAGTGGCTGAATGTGGTTGGTGCCTGTGGGGAAAGTGCTGAACTTTCACTCAGGCAAACCGTCTTTCCATTCTCTCCACACATTTTCATCCTTCTATTCAGTCATTTTGTGTTTCTAAAAATCCTTCCTGATTAACACCATATAATCTGCCTACTTACTATATTTCATACCGATACCTATTTTTTAATTTGTCCTTTATTTAATTTGTTCGCTCTCATTCTCGTGTTGTTTTGAAACTACCCTTAATATTTTTAATGTGTTTCTTGAAAAAGTCTTGATGACATTCTGATTTGAAGGCATAGCTTATAGTTGTGTTTAAGGTTCTAGGTCAGTTTTACTGTCCTTTTGACAAAATGGAAGGAGCATCAGGCAATGCAGAAGTATATGGTTAAGCTAGGGGTTCCACATGGGAAGTGACATAGGGTCCAGTGTATCAGTGCTAACAGAGTGATGAAAAAGCCATGACAAAGTCCACTTATGTGAACATTAACTGGAGGGGTGAACAAGTGGTGGTAAAGCTGTCAAAAATGACGTGTCAACATAAGCACTTCATTTCTGCTTCAGCACATCATTTCACCTCAGAGCTGTCATCAATTTGCCATACACAGTAAGTGACAGATAGTTGTGACCTGGCACAGTGCTTCAGCACATACAGGACAGGACTCAACAAATGTTAATGACCAAACATGAGTAATGTCATACAGCATCTGTGCTAGGCCTCCTCTAAAAGTTGGCAAATCTGCTAATATTTTCAAAGTCTTCCAGGATCCAGCCCTCACCTGTCTCTCCAGCGTCACTAACCAGACCTTTTTGTTCCTTTTGTTCCAACCATACTGAGCTACTTATAGCTTCACAAATATGCCAGGTTGTTTCAGGTGTCCATGGCTTTGTTCATATTACTCCCTATGCCCTTTCCTCCCCTGATACTCCTCATGAAGACACAGCTTTTAGAAAGGATTTCCTGATCCATCTCTAGGTAGAGCTGATGATTTCTTCTTCAGTGTCCCCAGATCTTATTTGAACCCTGTTATAGGATCTGCAATTTTATTGGATTTATTTGCTTGCATAAATGACTTTCCTATTAGACTGTTAACCTTTTAGTACCAGACACTATATCTCATTAACTCTATAGTCACAGTTTATTTAAAAACTGTGTACCTGTATTTAATGGGAATTCAATAAATTTCCATGTAGGAATGACTGGATTAATCAACTAAAGTCCTTTTCACTTAAACTGCAATAGATGGCAATTCAATAAATATTTACTGGGTCCCAACCACATGCCAGATGGTGCTAGGCTAATGTGGTGTAGTACAATAAGCACTGGTTTTGAACGGGCAAAATCATTACTCTTTGACACGTACTAGCTGTGTAATCTTGAGCAAGTTACTTCGCTTTTTAATCTTCATTATTTTTACCCATAAAACTGGTCAGGAGGTAGTGTTATAAGGATTAAATAATATATGCATAGCACTGAACAAGGTGTCTAGGAGCAGCCAACAGGCACTAAAAAAACAGTTCCTTTCCAAGAAGTTTCAAAGGGTTTATAGGCTAGTAAAGGAGACATAATACAAATAAACAACTCTAATGTAAAATAATGAATGCTTTGTTACTGTAATAATGACAGGTGCTCCTAGAACACAAATGAAAAACAAAACCTGCCAAGAGAGTCCAGAAGGGGACAGTAGGAAAGATACAAGAAGGAAGAGTGCAGTTACATTCTCCCCTCTTCCAAACTCTAAGCAAAGAGCAAAGTATCAACCAAGGCACAAAGCTGTGAAAAAGAACTATCTGGGAAAAAGAAAAAGGCTTACAGATAGGGGTTCAGTAAGAAAGAAGCCAGAAATGTTGATTGCAATTAAGTTTTGAAAGGGGTTTGTAGGGTGACATCTGTAGCAACTGGGAGCCATGAGAGCTGTTTAAGCAAAGGACTGACATGAGTGAATCTATCATTTAGAAAGCTGACTTGGGCAGTAATGTGGACTACAGACTGCAGCAGGGACAGAGTAGGGGCAGAGAAGCTAGGAATACACTCGCATAAAACTGTGGAATTGCTAAATCCTAGTGACAAATTCCAGCTTTATTAAACAACAAGGCACCAAGTATCAGTAGCAACCTAAATACAAATGCTTTTTAAGGGGATCTACCAATGAGAAATGGAAAGGGCTGGTGTGATGAGCCCTTTAAATACCCTTCTGTAAGAACTCTGGAAACAAGTAATGATGCCAAAATGTACTTTTCTTCTTATTAAGATGAAGACTCTCCCATTCAATGCTACTAGTAATACTGGGTAAAAAGAAATTTTAAAAACTTACCTTTGACAGTATCCTGGGGCAACACACGCCCGTGAAGATGAATCTAGACTACATTCAGTGCAAAATCCAAAACCCTGAAAAGAGAGAAAAATCACAATAAGCCACATACTCGTAGCAAGATGCCATGGCAAGTGGCAGAACAAAGTTCAGAATTCAGGCAGCCTAGTACCAATCCAGGCTTCTCCATCTACCACAGTGGTTTCCCAACGTGGGGCACATGCCCCATAGGGGGACAATTTGATTTTTAAGGGGGACAATTCGAGAATGAGTTATTAACAGTGAATTTTTTGCATTTCTTATGGTTCTGGGGCCTCATATACAGTATGTAAGTATATATTGTGACATATTTAAGCATTTCAGTTCTCTATTATGTTTTAAAATGTTATTCGCTATTTTTTCATATCACTTCATATTATTTTTTAAACAATTTCTTAGTGATTTCTTTCTCAGTACTTCAATTGTTCTTTCGTTCTTTTATTTTTCTCTTTCATGGATGCCATGCTTAAACCAAGTTAATGGCCTGTGAGGCTTCCTCCATGTTAATAAGAGTTCACTTTTTGAATAATAAGAATTAAATGTCACAGGGGGGGGGCATCAGGATTTAAGAGATGCTTAGGTGGGGCATGGCCAAAAAGAGGTTTGGAACCACTGATCTACCAGCTCATAGCCTAACCTCTGAAACCTCAGCTTCCTCATTCAGCACTGGAAACAGTAACAGCATCTTTCTCAGAGGGTTCTTTGGAAGTTTAAATAAAATATGTGTAAAACACTTGGTACAGGGCAGCACCAACCACATGCTCAATAAAGGCAAGTGATTATTAAGAATATGAACTGAAATATGAAATACTTGCTGAAGAAACATTAAAACCTATATTATACTTTTATTATTTATTTTACCCTTACGTCCTACCAGAAAAATAGCAAATTACCTTTTCAACTTCTCCATTTCATGTGAGGATGTCTCAAAATCACTTGGGATTTAATATTGCATCCCAAATTGCCCTCTTCATCCCCTACCCAGACCGCATTCTCCATATCTCCACTGTCTCAAACAAGACACCATCCTCCACCCAGCTGCTGGTCAGAACCTCAGATTCATCTTGGATTTCCCACTCTACCCCAGTCCTCTCATAGCCATCAGCAAGTCCTGTCATTTCTGCTTTCACAATATGTATCTCAGATCTACCCACAATTCTTCATTTTCATTGCCATCATCATTTCTCACTTGTGAAGGCCTCCTAGCTGGCCTCCCGGAGCCTATTCTTGCTCCTCCCCAATCCATTCCCAAAAAGTGGCTGGAATGGCCTCTTAAAAATCAAACCAGATCATAGCAAGATGCTAACAAATGCTGTGAAATGTTTTTTTCATTTCAAGATGAAATGTCTCTTAATATATATGGAATACATATTTACATACCTGTGAATATACAAATACATCAAAATATATGAAATGACAGCCATTTATTAGTAGACATTTACAGACCTCAAGCCAGTCACTTCATTTTACAACAGCAAAAACGAACATCAGAAGGATATTCTGCTCAAGGTTGGACCTCTGTGTGTGTGTATAGGTGGGCAAAACAATGCCAGACAAGACTGGCAGAAATATATCTGTGATTAGCATCCACACTGTGCCAGAAAGCTTGTCACTGTTTGGAAGTCGGCCCCTTAGTTTCACAATCAATGTTTCTGTCCAAGAAAGTGAATTCCATTCCCCATGGCTACAGACTGTAAATTACAGCTTTAGTCCCACACTGTATCACAATGTTTGAGGTGGTACTTCAGTGTAACTTGAAAACATCTGCTGCCCCCTTATCTGCCATCACCTATGTTTCCTTGTTTAAGTGTTTGAATAAACAAATCTTAGATAGAATTGTGCTGTGTAATGAGTATTAGTAATACTTTAATTACTAGTATTATCCCTATCTTCCTACTATACACACCACTGTCACAGCGATCTCTAAAAAGCAAATTTGATCTCTAAATATATCACTGCCAAAATTCACTCAAGAGCTACCCATTACTTTTGGGGTAAAATTCAAGATCTCTCTTAACTGCATCATCACTTCACATTCTATTCACATGGATTTCTATTGGTCTCCTTGCCCACATGATTTCCTTGCACTGATGTCTCTGAGGACCTTTTGCCTAATTCCCTTCAACTCCTCTCTTGAGATCTGCCTCGGGTGTTGTTTTGAAGTTTTCTATACCATCCCTGGCTCCACTAAGTGTTCCTCCTCTGAGGTATACCATATAATATTGGTAATATCCATGGGTCTATTTCCTTTACTCAAGACAACAAGATCTATGTCTTACACATCTCTGAATTTGGTATCAGGTAGCAGTTTAATAAACATAAACTGAACTAAATCCTGACATGATCCCTATACCCCAGTCCTTCAACATAGATGCTTCCCCATTAAATAAAAGGCACTGGGGAAAATGGAAGAAGCCAGCTGCAACTTCCAAGATGGGTTTGGCCCTCAAGGAGAATGTGAGCTATGCAGTTATGTGCGACCCTCCAGTACCTCAGAGACAGACTAGATTCCTTAATTTATTGTCAACTATAAACCATCAAGATGACAATGACTAATTTTCAGTTCTCTATTCTGATTAGTTTCTGCCCAGGCTAAGCAGGACTGCTTCTCTAGACTTATCAGTAGTCTAAACTCCGTACCAACTTCATAAAGTAGCTCATAATTACATATCTTGTTAACAGATAAGCTTAGGACACAGTGGCCAGCTCAGTCCTTTGCCTGCTTGGCAGCTGGTCCCAGACGCTGACATTCAGTGAGAGAAAAGGAGTGAAAGCAGTGGAGAAGCAGGCAAGGGAAACTGGGCAGTGTTCCAAGTACTCTGGAAACCAGCTTCATTACTCTCCACAGGGCTGTGAACCTGTGTATCAGATGGACTCATACTCAATATAAACATAAAATTTCATTCTAAAATCAACATTTGAAATGATCCAGTTGAAGTTATCTACAGCACTACTTTCCTTCTAAGGTATGAGTAATAGCAAATTCCTTCAAAATATCAGTTTGAAATGTTCAGGACTATATACTGTAATCCTACTATCTGATCATGTTCAGCCACAGCAGTAAACTATGTGAACCACTCCAGTTCTCTCTCTTCTCTTGCAGAATAACCAGGTTGGCCTTGGAATTTACACAGGGGTTGGGAAGGCTCAGTGGATCTTGGACTAAATCAACCCCTGGGATCAACTAAACTGCAAGGAGATTTCAAGAGTTCCTCCACAGCCAAGCACATAACTAAACTCACAGAATGTAATTAAAACTGCATCTTTTGCCCTGACCGGTTTGGCTCAGTGGATAGAGAGTCGGCCTGCGGACTGAAGGGTCCCGGGTTCAATTCCGGTCAAGGGCATGTACCTTGGTTGCAGGCACATCTCCAGTAGGGGGTGTGCAGAAAGCAGCTGATCGATGTTTCTAACTCTCTATCCCTCTCCCTTCCTCTCTGTAAAATATCAATAAAATATATATTTTTAAAAAAACACACAAAAAAACTGCATCTTTCCTAGGGAATATGGCAAGTTTAAAAATACATATTCAAAAAACTATATTTATTAATATCGCTTCTGATATGGTAGGATTTAATTTTCAAATTTGATTACTTAGCATAATTCTTTTAAATTTAATTTTGATTCTCATATCAAAAAACTCAAATAACATAGATAAGGCTATCTTCTCTCCCCCAACCTCAGTGTTCCCAAGACTCACCACTATTTATCTGTTTGACATCTAGCATAATACTTGGGGTTGCAGACTGTTAAGAATATGCTATAAACTTTTAATTGAGTCACTAATAACACTGCAAACCCAGACTGCCTATGTCATTGGCAACTGGCCTAACTTCAAGCATGACGTCAGGAAAAGACGTCTTAAGTGAAGCAGCAGATGTGCGGGAGGAACAAAACACCAGCAAGGAGGCTGGGGATGTGTTCCCAGGAGGCGAGCATGGACCAGGAGGATACCACAAGTCCAGCTCTGTAAGCGGCACACCCAGCTCAAGTGGGCAAGAAGAAGTCTATTTCATTAAGTAACACACATAATAATAACAAACGCCTGAGGGAGCATTGCTATAGGTAAATGGGTTTATTCGGCCACCAATACACAAGTGACTATTGTTCCACGATCTTTGCAGTTTCAAGTCACTTCTACTTCAGTTTGACACTTCGGAAATTCTATAAAAATGTTCAAGTCTGTCCATTCCTAAAATCAGCCCCTTTAATCTGTAATCTCCTCGAGCTTTTATGTCCTCTCTCCCCTCTTTCCTCTCCCAGTCAAGCTTTTATAAAAAGAAAATGTTATTTGTGGTCTCAATGTCCTTCTCTCTCTCATTCACTTATTAATCATTGCAATTTGATTTCTTTCTCTGTCAGTCCCAGTTGCCAAATACAATGAATATTATTCATTGGTTTTGCTTTAACCTGGGCGTTTAAAAATCAGAGAGCTGAAACTCTGTCCTTTGGAAGCTCCTTTCCTATCTGGCGATTAAGGATAATGCAGATAGATCCAGCCATTGGGCCAGGGGCGCCTTCTTTTAGTTCCTGGTCTCTTGGCTGTGCCTGAGTTCTCCTGCCTCCCTGGATTTGTAACCAGCCCAAGGCCTTTGTCAATACTGTTGATTTTCAGATTCCCATCTTGGGCAGGCTGGGGCTGGGTGAGGAGTTGCTGCTTCTGTACGTGGGAGTTGGGGAGACAGGGATTGTGGTGAGAGAACCAAACTCAATTCCTAGCTTCAAAGATTGAGCCTAGGTCTGATGCCCAAACTGACATGGAACATGTTTAGCCCCTTTACCACACAGAAGGGGCCAAATGCATTACTTGTGCACCTCTTAGATCATTTCTTACCAGTTTCTTTTACTGGATAGTCTTTCTCTACTTGTCCTTTAATTACTGGTATATTCCTCAGGAGTTCATTCTCTCTCTCCCCCCCCCTTTATTGATTAAGGTATTACATATGTGTCCTTATCCCCCTATTGCCCCCCCATCCCCCTGCTCATGCTCTCACCCTACCCCCTAGTGTCTATGTCCATTGGTTATACTTATATGCAT